GGTAACATCATAGTTGTGAGCCAGTTGCAACTACAAGAACCAGTTATCACTCATTCAGCCCCATTGTAACTTTGACAGTTGCTGAACGAATGGTCATTAAACAAGGTGTATGGGATAAAAAACAGTGAGAAACCCATTTTTTTATCCTTGAAAACAATTTTTAACCAAAACCTAAAAAATGTCAGGTACAGGTAATAGAACCCGTAGGCGATTCATCAAAATTCTACTACAAAGGGCAGACAGGCTGGCAAGGAATGACATGAATACTAAGATAGAAGCATATGAATACATTGCTTATCTCAGTAATTTTTATGCATACTTAAATAAACTTCATTTTTGAGGTTCATTTAAAAATTCACCTGATCCCAAGGATTCAAGACATGGAATTTGTGAGTGAAAGAGTTGGGGAGAGTGTGACAGAACAGGGAAATAAGATAACCCACATCACAATGTCATTGTAAATTTCCTCCAGCCTGTGATCCATATGTCCTGCCTGGATTAGTTCTGCATCTCTCTTCAGCTGCCTGTAAAGAAAATACAGGGTATACATTTTAATTTAATTAATTAATTATTAGCAACTGTTCTATAAGAAAACAAGGGTATTATTGATATCTCACCAAATCTGAGACCTACCTGTACTTTTCCTGTGTCTCCTTAATAAATTTCTTAAGCTCCTCCACTCGTTCTGCTGTCAGTTTTCTCACAATAACATCTTCTACAGTTTCTACAACTTCTCCTTTCTCACCACGCTTTCTTCTACACACAAAAAAACAGGAGGGAAGAAGACTCTAGCGCAGTGTTTCTCAACCTTGACAATTTTAAGGCATGTGGACTTCAACTCCCAGAATTCCACAGCCAGCATTTCACCTAGTGGGGTGAAAGTTTGTGATCCCTGCAGAATTAGCTAATCGTGCAGTACTGTGCGTACAATTTAATGAGAACTTTACTTCAAATCTATATTAGATTCTGGTTAAACAAACATCAAACAATATGGTATATTTTGCTGTATTTTTATCGAACACTATTGGAAAAAGTATGAGAAAAAAAATCTTCCGCAAAGATCAATAATTAAATAAAAAGCAGAATGCATTCCTGAGTTGGGATTATTTACTCTGTTCTTACTTTTAGCCACCAAATCCACAAAGTAAATGGGAAGCTCGAATTCAAATCATTTGCATATCAGCAATATCTTCGATTTGAATGTATCCGAACTATCAGTTTTAGCAATCTGAATAATCACTGTCTGGGAGCAGAGTTTCAACTGCTCTGGTAAGCTCACTCACAGTGGTAAGTATCACTGCTGTTATGCTCTTCAGTTCAAAGGCTGAACAATTTGTTAGTAGAGATGAACCTACTTCAAAATGATTTAGAAATGCTTTGTACCCAACATTTCCCAGATTTCCCTGGAAGCCTGCCAGCATTCAGGGTGCTTTATCAAATAACAAGGACATACTGTGTTCAACTTCTAATCTTCCTCTGGTAAGAAATGGTTCAACCTTTAAACTCACTTTGGAGTCTCTGTTGTCTCCAGGAGCTCAGAATATTGTGATGCACAGTGCTAGAAAAAAGTACAGACATATATTTTTTTAGAAAAGAGTCACCATAAACAACACAAAAAATAGTATTCCAACAAAAACTTGTGTGTGGCATATAACACATTTTCCACACTGTAAACATATTCCCTAACAATTGGAGAAGAGGACATACTTTCTGATAAACTACATGGAACTTTCCTTGTGTGTAGCAACCAGGAAGAGATGCTCACTGAGGCACTAGCACCATTACAGTTATCTCCAGAGAAAATGAGAATATACCATCAGAGGAAGAAGTGATAAGAAAAATCCTGAACTGTGCTGAGATGGACAAATTAACAAAAGAGATAAAAGAAAAGGAAGACACAGAGTACTATCTAATATGGAACAAGTGGTATGACTGGTTGGAGACTAGAAATAATAGAGGAGAATAAATGTGGAAAGGTCAAAAGTGGAAAATGTGTGTATAATAATGTATAGTAATAATAATATGTATTATTCTTAGTATGAAGTATAGTGTGAAGGAAGAAAAATGTAAATAAGAAACAATGGGGCAACAAGGACAAATATTCTAAAGAAGAAAAAGGGGGGAAAATGTAAGTAATAGAAGATTACCTTTACGAAATTGCTGTTTAAAAAAAAGGGAGGAGTATACACTGTGTGTGTGTGTATGTTTTGTTTTGTTTTGTTGGTTTAAAAAATAAAAAATAAAAAAAGAGTTATCTCCAGAAATCCTCTAAAACAGTGGTTCTCAACCTTTTTAATGCTGCGACCCCCAACCGGTTGTAAGTCGAGGACTACTCAACCGGTTGTAAGTCGAGGACTACTCAACTGTTTGCAGAATGGGACTTTTGGCGGGCTCAGCAGGGCAGAGACAGCCTGGACAATTCCTATTGGCTTTTGAAAGCCAATAGAATTAGACTCTGTTCAAGAGACTCTATTCTATTGACTTTCAAAAGCCAACAGAATAAAAGGGAGTAGCACAGCCAAGGAAAAGGGGGAAAAAATGGCGGACTGCGTTGTTTGGCGACCCCGTGAAATGGTCGTTCGACCCCAAATGGGGTCCCGACCCACAGGTTGAGAACCACTGCTCTAAAACAATGCTCTATTAATGATAACTAATGCAATGCCAAGTTTTTTTTCCATTTTTTTAAAAAATGTGTGTGCTGTGAAGCAAGGCTCCAAACAGTTTAATCCATGATCTTTATTTCCTAGATGTTCATAGTACATCTTCCCAATAGAAAAACAAAAGGCCATTATTATGCTTAAATGTAGTATTTAAGCTTCTTACCTTCTGAGAAAACCAATCAGGTGGACGGCCTGGTTCTGCAAAGGGTTTAATAGCTCTGCTGACAGATACCCTATACAAATAAGATGGAATTAAGATTTTCTTTCTCTTTATACAAAATATAGAGTATACCAGGGATACATTTACTAGACTGAGAAAAAAATACTGTATAAAAATACAGTATTTTGATAAAATACACTTTGAAGTTCATTTTGGTTTATATTCCACTCATAGTGATCTAGGGTCAAATATCTATTCATATCTGAAACTCACTGGTCAATTATACTCCATCAGTCTAACCTATCTCAGTCTTGGAAACCTGGATAATTAGAGAAGAAAACTACTCTAAGCAATTTGATTCTTTGGAAATAAAAGGGGCTGTAAATGGAAACAATAATCATCATTTCCTACTGCCTTTTTCTATTGCACAAATCTAACTTGGATAAAAATACACCATACTGTTTTCAAATGTTAACTGCATGAATTTTAGTTAATTCCTCTCCAAACTTTTGTCTCATTCCAGAAGCAGAAATCCAGTATGAATAAGGTGTTAAGTTGTATAATCTCTAGCAAATTTCAACAGTCAATTCAAAAACTATAGTTATGCCTCTTTTCTTTTTGATGACTTCAATCTGTGCTTCTGAATTTAATCAGAACAAGTGCTTAATCACTTTTCAACTAAAATTTAAGGATGGAAAGTAGTATATAATCCATTGATTTGGCTATTTGCACTAATAAATAACCTCACTTTTCATTGTCGTTAACAGTACGGGGAGGGAGAGGGTGGACTGTAGGTTTTATCCAAAGGTACATCACATCAAAACAACCAAATAATTTCCATCTTGGAATTTGCAGAAAAAAAGGGGAATATTTATTGCAAATCATTTTAGAAACTTCTGGAATATGAAAGCTGGGAATAACAGATATTTCTCAATTTGTTTTCATCAAAATACCTATCACTAATACTGAGTTACATCTCAAAATAATTTAATAAATTATTTTATTGAATATTTAATAAAATGGGTGTTGTAACATGGCTTAGTATATATAAAGTAACTATAATTAGTTGATTTATATAAGGGATACTGTAAACTGGTACATAGCAGTACAAATTAAATTATTTTTAATTCAGTGATGCTACTTACAACTATTCATTTAGTGTTCAAAGTCACAACAGCAGTGAAAAAAGTGATCTATGGCCAGTTTTCACACTTACAATTGTTGCAACATCTCCATGATCTTGTGACCAAAATTGGCAACTGTTCTAGGGTCATGTGATAACCTTCTGTAACCTTCTCATTCCGTTTCCGACAAGCAAAGTCAACGGGGAACCTAGATTCACCTAACAACTGCATGATTCACTTAATAACTGGCGTGATTCTAATATTCTAAGCCATTTTGTTGAATACAAGTTGGCAGCAAATGTTCAAATTCATTAATGGTATTTATCTCACCAATTCTGGTCCCCACTTCGCATGACAGAAGAAGCCAAGCACAGCTTCTCTCGAATAGACCACGGTTCCGTGGGCCCAGCATTCATCAACTTGTGTTCTAACAGGGGGGAAAAAAAATCACAATATTGCTGTAGGATGAGATATGAAGCAAATTATACATTCCTGATCTACCTGAAGAAAAAACATACAATTATCTGGAAAAATCTGGTAATAGCAGAAGGAAAGAATATTAGGTATGTTCGCCACACTATTTCTAAAAATAATAAAGGCGAAATTTAAAAAAACAACAACACTTAATCGCAAACAAATGGTTCCTAGAAGAGGGTGGGTAGCAAAAGGCCAACTCGCGCCCCTAAAATGCGTGCTACAGGCAGATACAGCATGAAGCCTGGCTGTACACAGCTGCGCCAGATGACTATGGTCTTCTCAGAAATACAAGGCCGTGGACATCCTGAGACCTAAAAAGGAGGCCCTGATACATTTGCCCTTAGCAAGGAAAAAGACCATTACTCACTCCCCGCTCCGGCCGCCATTTTCACGAAAGGACGATGGATTTCGAAGCTCCGCAGACATCGAGTCCGAAACGTTAGGTCAGGCCTCTCCGCTCAGACCGGTAGGCGGTCCGTTCTGTTCGACACCTCTTCCTATTGGTTGATTGAGAAGAAAAAATGGTGGCCGGAAAAACGGTTTTTTAATCTCTATGGTTGGTTTCCCAGGGGTCAGTGTTCTGGGAACGGAAGCGGAACTTGGTTAGTGTGGGGGAATAGAAGTGGCGCGTGGGTCTAGGTTCTTCGAATTGCGGCTATGGGTCGAGTCAAACACCAGGAATCAGAGGAGACCGAGGCAACAACCCCAGAACGGTCGTACCACGAGCTGGTCGCAAACGTAAATGCTATTGCGCGGCCGCTAGCTTCTCGGAAGCTCACACGCAAACTCTACAAGTGCATCAAAAAAGGTGCGTGCTATTTGGTGGGTGAGCCGCTCCCGGGTGGCTGTGATGGATTCTATTTCGAGCTTTACTGTCTCTTGGGGAATCTTCTTGAAAACTTTCGCGTTTATTTTATAGCATCGAAGTTTAAACAAATCCGGCGAGGGGTGAAAGAAGTCCAGAAATTCATCAACAAAGGCGAAAAAGGGTAAGAAACCGTGATGCTCCGGGTGATGGAATCTACTTTTTGTGAAAGTAATCTCCGAATTTCCGCTTAAAGTAACTACTAATAGTGTGTTTTGGACTAAACAAACTCTTTTAAGTCTATGAAAATATACATGCTTAAATTAGCTTTTTCTGTACAGAGTTCACAGAAACTAGTGTAGTTCTAAGCAAATTAGAGACATATTTTTCTGTAATTGTGATAAACTTATTCGACATTTGCCATTATTTTGCAATTTGTTTTATTAGTCCCTAATTTCTAACCAAGTGCTAAAATTGCTTTGTTTCATTTCTTATAGAATCACAGTTCTTGCAGGAGACACATTGCCTATTGATGTTTATTGCCACATCCCCATCATGTGTGAAGACAGGAGTCTTCCCTATGTATATATTCCATCTAAAACGGTAATATTTGGTTAAAGGAAATATATGTTCTTCTTGCTGGTCCTTGAGAAAGGAATAAATATATGAGATGTGACAAAAGAATTCAATAGAATTTTGTCTCACATGATAACTTTATTTTCCTATGTTAACAGAAAGTCTCAAGATATTTAGATACGGATACTTAGTTTTTCTCAAAAGCTACTAATCTCTACTTTTTAAATTTCATGATTTTACGGATGTCATTGATTATTAAATGTCCCAGTTTATGAACAAACTTTTGTATCTTATTTTTTTATCTTTTCAGTTGTGACTTAAATATGTAACAAAACTGGATGCAATAACATTTTAGCATTCAGAAGTTGGAATTCTAAACTGCATTCATTTTATAGATGGCTTGCTGAATAACATATGACATATGCATTCATATAATAGTAGACTGTCATACACAAGATTAAATAAATTATTGCTTAGTACAGTGTTTGAATCTAGCTAGCAAATGAACATTAGGATTTTCAAGCTATGGATCCTTACAATGTCAAATATAGTTTCAGCATAATCATGTCCAACTGTTGAATATGATACTAATACATGAATTTTAATAAAATAGCTAAAAAGTGATACACGTCAAGTTTAAAGATTTGAGTACCATATTTTGTTAATACCTTGAGGTTATGAGAGGCCAGTTAATATTGAAGTCCCTGGGAATTCCTTCCTAATATCAGCTCAGAAGTTGAACTTACGGGGAAGTGGTAATTTAAGAATTTAATGCCAATGATTCCTATGTATTCTGTCCTGCAGGTGCCATGTTAAATTTTTAAGCTTTTTATGTATAAGGTTTATAAATATGTATGGTCATACAAAAATGTGGGAATCCCTAATATTTCTTTCCTTTAAATTATTTATGGTAAATTTTAATACCTTAGCAAGATCATTTTGTCTCACATCAAAAATGTGAATTCTTTAGTATTAACTAAGCCTTATTCTCAAGTGGTTGAAATTTGGTTTCCATTTGTTAAGATGTTTGCAGTGCGGTTGCCGAATTAAGCTTTAGAATTAAGCTTTATAGAAGGTAGGTCTTCACCCTGAAGAGGCTAAAATCAAATTTCTAAAATACTGGATTTGTTTAGTTTACATCTTGAAATATGCATGAATAGTCTGTGCTGAAAAAAGGGAGACCTCTGTGTGTGATCCAAGGAGCTGAATCCTATTTCTTCTCTTGCATTCAGGATTTGGGAGCAGCGGCAGGCTCAAAACGCCCAACCTGCGTTATCATGATAAAGGCTCATGAGGAATATCAAGAAGCTTACAACGAGTGCTTGGAAGAAGTGGAGGCTCTCCCCCTTCCTTTGTGAAGAACATTAATAACAGACACTATTAAGATTCCAATATGATATAATATGCTGGATTCTATAGACTTTATGTGGTTAAATATCAGTTTCATGCCAGCCTTGATTGTTGAGCTGAGGAATATATCAAATGACTTACTGAGAGTCCAGGAATCATGGCAGCTATGCTGTTAATCGTCTATTTTTGAAGAGTTTGGGTAGCAATACTTGCTGGAAATTTGTGTTGGTTCTCAACCTGTGGGTCGGGACCCCATTTGGGGTCGAACGACCATTTCACAGGGGTCGCCAAACAACGCAGTCCGCCATTTTTTTCCCCCTTTTCCTTAGCTGTGCTACTCCCTTTTATTCTATTGGCTTTTGAAAGCCAATAGAATAGACTCTCTTGAATAGAGTCTAATTCTATTGGCTTTCAAAAGCCAATAGGAATTGTCCAGGCTGTCTCTGCCCTGCTGAGCCCGCCAAAAGTCCCATTCTGCAAACGGAGCTGCACCAGTTGAGTAGTCCTCAACTTACGACCGGTTGGGGGTCGCGGCATTAAAAAGGTTGAGAACCACTGGTTCTAGACCAGTGTTCTCAACCTTTTTAATGCCGCGGCCCCCAACCGGTCATAAGTCGAGGACTACTCAACTGGTGCAGCACCATTTGCAGAATGGGACTTTTGGCGGGCTCAGCAGGGCAGAGACAGACTGGACAATTCCTATTGGCTTTTGAAAGCCAATAGAATTAGACTCTATTCAAGAGAGTCTATTCTATTGGCTTTCAAAAGCCAATAGAATAAAAGGGAGTAGCACAGCTAAGGAAAAGGGGGAAAAAATGGTGGACTGCGTTGTTTGGCGACCCCCGTGAAATGGTCGTTCGACCCCAAATGGGATCCTGACCCACAGGTTGAGAACCACTGCTCTAGACCATTAGGATAGAGCAGGGGTAAGCAACCTTGATTCTTTTATGACTTGTGGATTTCAAATCCCAGAATTCCTGAGTCAGTATGGCTGGTTCAGGAATTCTGGGTATTGAAGTCCACAAGTCATAAAAGAGCCGTGGTTACTTGCCCCTGGGATAGAGGAACCATTAAGTAATAAAAAGATTTGTAGATATATTGGCTTTATCCAACTCAATATACTATAGACTTTAATATCACACGATCTTACTTGCTTACTCCAAAGTACCTTCCAATTTTGTTCCTCTCTGCTTGGAGTAGAGAACATTTCTTGCCTCACTGCATGCTCTCTTATGCATACAGATATGCTCTTGAAAATTAAAAAATACAAGTCATCTATAGCCCCTTTATTAAAGGGCAGTGTTATTTCAACCCTTGTTAACTGCATCATACTGTACTGTAGAAGCAAATATGAAGCATTCTCAAAAACATACCCAGCCCCGGGCTAGCTAGACTAAGATGCTTTATACAAATTAATCTTACAGTGAAGATTTAAATGTGGTTTTGTAGATATTCCATTGTATGGCAACATGCAAAGTGATTTATTTCAATTTGTTTCTATGTCACTCGCTGCCCCCTTTAGATGTTTGATATATACATGACTGGATGGAATTGAGAACACATGCATAAAGCCTCTGGCTACTCTTAAAGGCTATAGTGGCAACTTTTTTTTTTTCAATTATCCTTTCTCTAGGTCAGTACAGGTTTTTTGCTTCAGAAAAAGGCAACCAAATTTTATAAAGTGTAAGTTGTAAGCACTAGTTCTTACTTGAAACCTCCAAGTTAAAATAATGTCACTCTCCAAAATTATTCCTAAAGAGCTGTATGAGGAAATCTTTACGATTAGTCCATGAGAACACCAAGCCTGGCTATTAGGTATAATCTATGCCTAAAGATGTCTCTACATTAATATCTCTAAGGCAGATTTTAAATCCCTTTTACGTACACAACTGCAACATTTTATTACAAGCTGTTAAGCACCAAACTGTTAACTCATTACAGGTTTTAGATTTTTAAATATTTAAATAGTACATGCTCTGATGCTATAAATTGTTTGTATAAGGACGAAAATTGATCCTGACCTTTGAGGTTTTATTTCTCTACTAAAATAAGTCATCGTCGATTTGTATTCATATTCTAAGGAAATATTCCATTGTATAATTACTCATCTCTTAGTCTTTGAAGAACAATAGTGTATACAGAGGCTGACATAAAACATTAGGAAACACCAGTAAGCCTACACTTGTCCTCATTTCCATTCTAATTTACTTGAAAGTTTTTTCAAAACAGGAGTAATCTGGGTTCTGCACCTGCTTTTCTTATCTCATATACTGCATATTTCTGAAACACATTTCTGTTTTCAAGAATTTGGTAATCTGTAAGCATTAAAAGTGGGGATAGCAGCTCCACATAGAGCGCTTGTGATATAATCCAACAAGAAACAGAATTGTGAATAGAGACAAGACAAATTCTACAACAGGAGCAGTGCCTGTTGAAGCTGCCAGGATGAAGCCTAAAACAGGCAGACATGGAGTATATGTACGGATATTGCATTGCCTCATTCTGCAAAGTTTTTGTCTGGTCCACTAAAGTAATCGGCTTCCATTGTTTAGCAGTTGTTATATTAAGCAGGATATTACAGAGTTCTGCTTGCACACAACTGTATTTGAAGAGCCTATTTATAACAAATCTTGCCATTATCAAAAGATGAGGCGTTTTCCATCAGCTGGGTTTTGTTCCATGGGGCAATATGGACACTTCAGTCTGCAAAACAGAACAAGAATCAAATCAGGACTTTGGAATCCTTATCAGAAACTACTTTTGTAACAATATGAAGATGATCTGCTCCACACTCCTAGAAAACTGACAGCAAGTTCTAATGAAAGTGTGATAGAGTGGTTGGACTGGCACCACAGATATTCAGGTCAAGTCTATCATCTGTTACAGAAGCTTGCTGGGTGACTTTGGGCTACTTGTTCTCAGCCAAGCTTACTTCAATGTTATGAAAAATGGAAGCACTACATGTCACCTATGTGTGTTGAATTTCTGAAGGAAAAGCAGAATAGAAATCTTAATATTCGCCAACTTTGTTTCTATTTTTGACTTCACATTAATTAAATGAAATCTAGATTTTGTTCCAGTAATGTCAGTCATTCCTTTTAAAATGTGTGGACCTCAACTGCCAGAATTCCCCAGCCAGTATGTGGCTGGGGAATTCTGGGAGTTGAAGTCTATACATCTTAAAAGTTGCCAAGTTTGAAAAACATTGATTTAGAGTTTTTAAAATAGCCTTATTCAACAATTGGATTGAAGGCAGCAGATGCAATGTAGCCCTAGTACATAGAAATTTTAAAAAATAATTTGGGAGAAAAGTTTTACTAAATCTACATGGTATTGCATGTATAAATATGGGATGAATAAAGTATATGATTTAACTGCAGTATGGAAATTGAAATAATTCAGGCAATTATCATCTACTAATCCCATAACTTTCACTAAGAGAGCAAGATTTGATAAAAATCACTCACTTCCCTCCATTGATAAGCTTGTTGAGAGCATCTCGAGAAATAACATGTCCACAAATCAACTTGATGGGTGGATTGGAATCTGTGGTCTGTTGGCGCAGGATGGGACATGCAAAGACTGAATGATACCAGCATTTCATCCCTAGCTCAACTTCAATCTGTCAGGGAAAGAAAAGTTAACTTTAGCATGTACCGGTAGTTCTTTTATTTTCTCCAGCAAAAATCCTAATCCATCCTATAGTTCCTTCCCCAGAATGGGTAAGTAACTCACAGGCAGCTCATCCTTGTGGCTCCAGACACCTGTGCATTGTCTCTGCTCAATCACAGCCTTGATGTTCATCAGAACTGGCAATGCTACACACCCTGCAGCAAAACTGCAGAGACAGAGTGCTCAGCGCTGCCCAGTACAGCCCCCAGTCCCACCTGTATGAAGCTTTACCTGACACTGAGAGGTGACTCCACTGAGAGACCCAGCAAGGCACATGCATCACGAGTGAAAGACTCACAAATCTCTGTCCAATGACTTTCATCCAGTAGATGCCTATATGGAGAATTCTGAAGGCCTAAGCGTAGGTATACCAGACTGCCCATCATCACTTGGATCTCTGTTCAGCAAGATATAGGAGGTGCCATTTCAGTGAACAAACTTTCTCTAAGGCCACCAAGGCCTATTTCAAAACGAATTGTAGGAAACTGGTGACAGCACAAATGAACATTCCTTTGTTTCAAAGCAAGGAATACGCCAGTTTAGTTTATCTCTCGTATTAAAATTGGGGAGATAAAGCACACAGAGCATGGAATTCTTTTTCTACCCCATCATACCAGCTGCACTCAGTCACATGACCAGGAGGGAAGAAGGTGAGGCTTAAGAATGAAGCAGCTGGTAGCATTCCAAGGGCTGTCCAGCTGCTTCTTCCATACGAATGAATGAGGGGGAAGTTTTCTGGAATGCCTTTCTTCAAAGGACCAAGCTGGATCAGGCATTTTCAAGCTTGATCTTATGTCAGCTTTTCCCACCACACCAAATTTGGTCCTGTTTTTTCCCCCCAGTTCTCAGACAGCTACCCTGCTGAGAGATGAACAGGCTCAGTTCCTTTACACGCACTCTTTCCAGCATCCCATTTGGTTGGAGAGGAAAGGGGAAGAATGAGACCTCAACATTGTTTAGCTTTAAGAGTTGTTTGAAGCAACAAAGTCAGAAATGGAAGCCCATCAGTTCTGGCAACTATAAAGAAACGTTACAAAAAAACAATCTTAATACAAATAAAATTTGTTATTTTACCTTTTTTTAAGGACACTGAGTAGAGCATTAGCCCAACAGACCTAGGAAAGAAGTATCAATTCATGGCAAGAAAGCAGATCCAAGGAAAAAGTACCCCACCTTGCTTGTGTAGGTGGGCAAAGGGTTGAAAGTGACGTGCGTAGCTCAGAGCCTCCAACTCCTTGCCGGGGCCGCCAGAAAGAAGCCTGATGAAATGGAGCCGATGCAGCTGAAACTCCAGAGTACTGTTCAGATCAGCCAGCTGCTGCCTGTGGAAGACTGCCCAGCTGGGCAAGGTACATTATTCCCTCAGCACCTGAGTCTCTAAAGCAGGGGTTCTCAACCTTGGCAACTTTAAGACTTGTGGACTTCAACTCCCAGAATTCCTCAGCCAGCTTTGCTGGCTGAGGAATTCTGGGAGTTGAAGTCCACAAGTCTTAAAGTTGCCAAGGTTGAGAACCCCTGCTCTAAAGGAACTGTCCTCAGAGTAATTATAATGAACAGAAGACATGGCAATGTTCCAAGCCCACTTATATATTGGCTACAGGAGATCATGAATGGTGGCAGCTTGTTGTAAATGAAATCTCAGAAATGTACTAGATTTCACAGATGAGAAACAAAGCTTCTTAAAAAGTAATTAAAAACTAATCAAAATAAATTAAAAACCTAAACTAAAATAATTGGATTAGGAATTACAGGAAGAAAAGAGGATTTCCCCAAAGGAAAAGAGTGCCCTGTTCTAAAGACTCACCTCAGAGCAGGTCCCAGGTCTTGTTTGTGCAGAGCTTCCAAAATGCTGTTCAGTTCCAGAAATGGTTTTTTGAAGTCTACATCTACATTCACAGTTGACTCCTGCCAAGGAGAAACCAGAAATTGGTTGAAAAACAAATTGTCTTGCCCCCTCCAGAAAATAAAGGAGCAGGCAAGAAATGGAAATATATGCAGATGGAGGTTCAATTAAAAATTATGATTAATCTTTGACTTACAACAGGATGCTTAATGACTATTCAAAGTTATGATAGACCTCCCCTAAAGCTACTTACAAGCCAGTTTTGAAGTTACAATGGTCACAACCCTCCCCTCCGCACGGTGACATGATTGCATTTTGAGTGCTTGGCAAGTGGCTCACCTTTACAGCCATTTGCAGCATCTCATGATCACTTCACTACAATTTGCTATGAATTCTGCTGTTTTCCAGTGTTTACGTCTGGTTTCTGGCAAAAAAAAATGCATCTGGGGAAAATGGATTGGCTTAATGAGCATGGCATTTTCCTAACAGCCACTACAAAATATGTACAAAAAAAAACCCCAGGAAAAGTCACATGATGCCTCAACTTATGACTGCAGTGACTTATGATCATAATTTTGGGTCCAATTACAGTCATATGTCAAGGGCTACCTATATCCATTTCAGAATGGACAAAAAAGATATAAAACAGAAGAGACTAATTGGGTCAGGTGCTTCTTCTGGTATTCTAGGAAAGAAAGTAAGTTTGTGGCAAGCAGAATTGTGTAGCCCAATGATGGCAAACCTTTTAGAGACCGAGTGCCCAAACTGCAACCCAAAACCCACTTATGCATTGTCAGGCGCCGGGTGGGTATGGCCCATTGGTTGGGTGTGGCCAATTGGGGGATGTGGCCCATTGAGTGGCCGTGGCTGCAGTGGTAACAGCAGACTGGATGGGACTAAAAAGTTCAATCAATCAATTCCAACTTTGCAAGATCTTTTTTTTCCCGCAAGAAGTTGAAATTGACTGATTGACTGAACCTTTTTTTTTTTTGTACATGGCGGCAGAGGCCTAAAACGAAAAAGTTGTATAAAACCCAGCTGAAGGCGTAGGACTGGGGCAATGGCGCGCGTGCCCACAGTGAGGGCTCTGCGTGCTGCCTCTGGCACCCGTGCCATAGGTTTGCCACCACTGGTATAGCGTAACTGAAGCATAAGCCAAAAAGTGTAACACAATGTAGGATTACAACCATTATGTACTATACAGTATAGTCCTCAGTTACTGACCACTAGTTCAAAGTTATGACTGTTCAAAGTTACAGTGGAGTTGAACAAGGAGATTTAAGCTGGTTTTCAAGGTTGCAGTCATTGTCACATGATCACTATTTGGGTTCTTGGCAACCACCACACATTTATGATGGTTGCAGGCTCCCATAATCCTATAATCACCTTTGTGACGTTCATGGCTGGCTTCTGATAAGCAATGTCAATTGGGAAGCCAGCAGGAAGTCACAAATTGCATTCACATGATGTTGGCTTAATGATCTGTGGTTATTTGCTTTACAACCACATAGGGACAAGGTTGACAGTCCCAATTGCAGTTGTTAAGTTAGGACTTCCTGCAAAGATTTCTGACAGAGATTAGTACCTGACACAGTTCTTCGGCCACTCCCAACATTCCTTGTTGATAGAGATGTTCTATAATTGCCAATATCAGGATCTGTTTCTCCTGGGTTTCCCAGACCAGAGCAGGGACAATGCCACACAAATCAGCATCAAAATTCTGGAACAAAAATTTGCAAACTGTTCACAAGTACTAAAGGAAATCCTTCCATCAACCTATGTTGCCCATTCTAAAAGGATGTAAAAAAGGCCTACTTCTCAGCACTGAATGCACTATACAACAGTCACATGATAGGTATATTATACAGCCCGGTAGAATAAATGTTGGCTATATTGCTAATGCAATACAGTTTTGTCAGTTAAATGTCCTTAAAAATTCAGCTTTAAAAAAATGAAAGAGGAGAAGCAGATGATTCTTCAATCTGTATTTAAGAAAGGAAGCAAAGTAACTTGCTAGAATGATAATTTGCCTTATCTTTAAGCATGTAAATATGGTATAAAGATAAATCAAATTAACATTCTAGCAATTTAAAGAAGGATACCATACCATCAATAATGAAAACTAGATAGTCCTCAAATGAGATTGAGGTTCTACTCTCTTATGAACAGTATAAGTTGATATTCGACATGAAAAGCTAAAAATGTTTCTCTACTGTACAAAAATGTAGGAGATTCTCATTCACAGGCCCCACCTCATATACCTCTACTTAATGTTCTTAATATTTTTATTCTTAAATTGCTTCTTTATTAAATAATTTCTGTTAAAAGAAGCACACACATCACAATTATTTGGCATATAAATGCATACATTTATATACTAATAGAATAGAATAGAATAGAATAGAATAGAATAGAATAGAATAGAATAGAATAGAATAAATAATATAATATAATAATATAACATCCTTAACTGGGACTGACAACTTGATCATTATGTGAAGCCACTGCTAAGTGAAACCACAACAGTGTTGATGATCATACTTTAGCTTTCCTTTGCTTTACAGACTTGCAAAGGTTGTAAATTCAAGGATTGGTCAAAAAGTTACTTTTTCATCACCTTGTAATTGCAAATGATCACTAAAAAAGGCAGTCTCTAATGAGGACTATCTATAATCACATTTTGGAGAACCGTTTGTTTGCATATATTTCTTGGACCATTTTTCATGCAATATTCTAGATTCAGCATAATATGAAGAAAGTACAATGCTTATGAAGGCTGAGAAAGTAGAACAAGGGCTTTTTTGTACTGCACCAAATGAATGTTTACGCTATCAAAGCACAAAATAAAACGTGCATATTTCACTAGTTCATAAGCGTTCCACAATTGAGAGCATAAAATATATAATCATTGGTGTAACATCTACTCTCATAGTTCCCAGTTTAAAATCCAAAGCAATTTCCTTCTTGGTCCCAAACTCCCGGCTCAGTTAACGGAAGTTACTCACTCTATCTATGGCTTTGCCCACGCGGGAGATACTGCTGTGAATATCTTTGTGATCTGAAGCTAAATTCTGAACAGTGTCCTTGATCTTCTTACAGCACTGAGATATAACAAGGGAGAGTGTAGCAGAAAGAGGTGCTCGCTGCAAGGCTATAATAGGAAAAGCAATGTCATTTTAGTTTTAGATATCAGCTCGGCGCTTATTTGCAACTTTCATTTGTCATAAATAGGTGAAGATATGTTAAGGTATCCTCACCTGCAAGTCTTTCACATTTGGGGAAAGGCACCACTACGTACAATTTAGTTCCATATAATACTAATATTTTCATACACAACATTTCTTCAGCACCTGTTCACAAATATCTTGGAATTCAAGTGTGGAAATTTAGGGAAGACAGCAATGAAAGTAAACCAGTTGTTGTACAATGGCAAAGAGAAAGCACACCTCCTGGGTCCCAATAGCTGGCACTATTTCAAAGAAGGGCCAGGGAGTGGGGCCTATCAGAGTATGTGGACAAGGAGATACCCTTGGGAGCAAACAGTTCTCAAATAATCCAGTCCTATGTCATGAAGGACTTTACAGGTGTCAACCAGCATGTTGAATTGCACCCAGAATGCTACTGATAGCCAATGCAGTTTGCAGTATGGAAATGTCACATAGGCATAACAAACAACTACTTGCATCACCACATACTGGACCAATTGCATCTTTTGGGTGTTCAAAGGCAGCACACTGCGGTCCTGGGGGTATGTGCATCGCCATCTACTAAGTTTAAAGCTTTGGAAGAAAAGAATGTAGAATCACAGTTTGAAGAGCCTATATTTATGAAAACTGGAGAATCTTTGTGTGAGAGGCCTCAACAAGTCCAGGTTGAGGAGCAGAAGACAACTTGTGCAGTATACAATTCCAAAGAAAAGCAGCAACAGAAGAAGGTTAAGGAAGTTTCATACTCAGTGGTTTCTGAATCTCTGGGAGATGTTAGACCTACAAAGTCTTTGGAGCAATCTTTAAGGGTGGAATTGCTGCCTGAAATGGAAATTGGGAAATCTCAGTTTGAGGGGCATCAACAAGAGAGGAACGGGCAGAGGATAACTTGTACAACTTACAATGAAAAGCAGCAACAGAAGAAGGTTAAGGAAGTTTCATACTCAGTGGTTTCTGAATCTCTGGGAGATGTTAGACCTACAAAGTCTTTGGAGCAATCTTTAAGGGTGGAATTGCTGCCTGAAATGGAAATTGGGAAATCTCAGTTTGAGGGGCATCAACAAGAGAGGAACGGGCAGAGGATAACTTGTACAACTTACAATTGTAAAGACCAATACAAGGAGGAATTCAAGGAACCCTTATTGGCTTCGGAGTCGATGGGAGATTCAGGAATTTTGGAGCAGTCTCCTAAGGCAGAACTTGCAGCATTTCTTACGAGTTTGATACAAGAATGGAGAAGGGAAATGGAAGAATGGAAGAATGGAGAATGGAAAAAACTGGAATGTGAATAATTAATAATACTAATATAATTGAGACTGATAAGGATGCAGTTTCTTACGGATGGAATTTGTTATTGGTGAAGATTGAAATGTTTAATGTGTTTATTAATTTTGTTGTTTTAAGTTTTGAACCTTTAATGATAATATTGTTTAAATTTGTGTTTTGAAGGGATTATAATTTGCTTATTTTAGTGAGGGGATTCTAATGTTTTAAATTTTAAGTAATGTTTAAATTTGTGTTTTGAAGGGAGTATAACTTGTTCAAGTTTTAAGTATGCTTAAATTTGGTTTTTAAATATTATTAATATTTTTAAGAGAAAATAATTTGTTTAATTAAATGTTTAGATTTGTTTAGGAAAGAAAGTAATGTTTAAATTTGTGGTTTTGGAGGGAGTTTATATAGAATGATGATTGTATTTAGATTTGTTTAGGATTTAAAAGTGTTTCTAGTTTTTAAATATTATTATTAATATTTTTAAGAGAAAATAATTTGTTTAATTAAATGTGCTTAGATTTGTTTAGGACTTATAGGTTTTTTAAGTTTTTTTCTTTTTGGATAGGAGAGAAGATTATGAAGATTGAAGGAAATATGTACTTACTTTAAGTTCTTTAAGAGTATTTAGCTTTAATGGTATAACAAAGATTTGTATGTTTATTTTTTCGTTTTAGGATAAAGAAAGAGGGAGAAATTAGATTTTATACTATAGATATAGATATTCAAAGAAAGTAATGTTTAAATTTGTGTTTTTGGAGGGAGTTTATATAGAATGATGATTGTATTTAAATTTGTTTAGGTTTTAAAAGTGTTTTAAGTTTTTTTTTTTAATTAAGCCTGTACTCAGCTCTGGGAAGTCCAGGGGAGGGTTTGGGAGGTTGGGAAGGGGGGGGTGAGGTAGGGGGGGGTATGGGAAGGGGATTTGTTTTTGTAAAATGTAAAAATTTTCAATAAAAAAAAAAAAAAATAGGAAAAGCAATGTCATTTTAGTTTTAGATATCAGCTCGGCGCTTATTTGCAACTTTCATTTGTCATAAATAGGTGAAGATATGTTAAGGTATCCTCACCTGCAAGTCTTTCACATTTGGGGAAAGGCACCACTACGTACAATTTAGTTCCATATAATACTAATATTTTCATACACAACATTTCTTCAGCACCTGTTCACAAATATCTTGGAATTCAAGTGTGGAAATTTAGGGAAGACAGCAATGAAAGTAAACCAGTTGTTGTACAATGGCAAAGAGAAAGCACACCTCCTGGGTCCCAATAGCTGGCACTATTTCAAAGAAGGGCCAGGGAGTGGGGCCTATCAGAGTATGTGGACAAGGAGATACCCTTGGGAGCAAACAGTTCTCAAATAATCCAGTCCTATGTCATGAAGGACTTTACAGGTGTCAACCAGCATGTTGAATTGCACCCAGAATGCTACTGATAGCCAATGCAGTTTGCAGTATGGAAATGTCACATAGGCATAACAAACAACTACTTGCATCACCACATACTGGACCAATTGCATCTTTTGGGTGTTCAAAGGCAGCACACTGCAATGATTCAGATGGGAAGTGACTAAGATGTTAGTGATCATGAGCAGAGCCCCACAATCCAGAAATAGGTGCAAACAGCACTCCAAATAAAGTTATGCAAAGACACCCTTGGCTACAACTGCCAACTGTTCTTCAAGCTGGATCTGTGAGTCCTGGAGGACTCCAAAGTGCACACTGATTCCAAGCAAGGTAAAACTGCTCAGTGCCAAAGATCAATCCTCTCCGGTTTTGGGACCTATGGAACCTAAAACTTACAGTCACCTAGTTTTGATAGGGTAAAGCTAAATCCAGTTCCTCCCCATCTAAACCCTTATAACCCCCAGACACAGGAACAGAGCCTCAATGGCTTCACTTGAATTTGAAGGAGGAAAGATGTACTATTGAATATTATCTGCATATCGTATTGCACTTGTATCAATGGATAAGCTTTCCCTGAGGATTCATGTATATGGTTAGATAATATAGCTTACCAAATTGTGCAAAGTCAATACGTGCAGTTACACTGTGAGTTACAGTGCATTCAGAAAGTATTCAGACCCCCTTCACTTTTGACAATGTTGTTATGCTGCAGCCTAACATTCTACAGTTGTTGAAATTCATTTTCTCATTAATCTACACTCAGTACCCCATAATGATAATGTGAAAACAGAATTTTAGAAATGTCTGTAAATTTATTAAAAAGAAAAAAAACCTGAAATATTACATTTTGGTATAAGCATTCACATCCTTTGAAACAACACATGAAATTTAGCTCTGATGCCTTCCATTTCTCTTGATCAATGCTGACATGTTTTGACACCTTGCTTGGAGTCCACCTATGATAAATTAAATTGATTGGATATGATTTGGAAAGGCATACACCTCTCTATAGAAGGCCTCACAACTGACAATGTATACTGTAGCAAAGCAAAAGCCATGAGGTCAAAGGAACTGCCTGCAGAACTCAGAGACAGAATTTTTGCAAGGCACAGATCTGGGGAAGGCTACAATAAAATTCCTGCTGCACTGAAGGTTCCTAAGAGTACAGTGGCCTCCATAATTCTCACATGGAAGACGTTTGGCATAACCAGGACTCTTCCAAGAGCTGGTCACCCAATCAAACTGAACAATCGGGGGGAGAAGAGCCTTAGTAAGAGAGTGACCAAGAACCTGATGGTCACTCTGACTAGCTTCGGAGATCCTGTGTGGAGATGGGACAGAGTTCCAGAAAGACAACATCACTGCAGCCCTCCACCGATCTGGGTTTTATGGTAGAGTGGCTAGACGGAAGCCTCAGTGCAAAATCTGCTTGGAGTTTGCAAAAATGCACCTGAAGGACTCTCAGATTGCTAGGAACAAGATTATCTTGTCTGATGAAACCAAGATTGAACTGTTTGGCCTCAATTCTAAACATTATATCTGGTGGAAACCAGGCACCTCTCATCACCTGCCCAATACCATCCCAACAGAGATGCATGGGGGTGCCACATCATGCTGTGGGGGTGTTCTTCAGCAGCAGGGACTGGGAGACTGCTGAGGGTTGAGGGAAAACTGAATGGAGCAAAGTACAGGGATATCCTCAATGAAAACCTACGGAATTCAGGACCTCAGACTGGGCCCAAGGTTCACTTTCCATCATGACAACAATCCTAAGCACACAGCTAAGATAACACAGGAGTAACTTAGGGACAACTCTGTGAATATGCTAGAGTGGCCCAGCCAGAACCCTGACTTGAACCCTATGTACATCTCTGGAGTGACCTAAAAATGACTGTCCACCAACGATCGCCATCCAACCTGAGTTTGAGAGGATTTGCAAGGAAGAATGGCAGAAAAACTCCCAATTCATGTCACACGCAAAGACTCGAGGCTGTAATTCCTGCCAAAGGTGCTTCAACAAAGAATTGAGTAAAGGGTCTGAACACTTGTGCTATTTCAGTTTTTTCTTTTTAATAAATTTCCAGACATTTCTAAAATTCTGTTTTCGCTTTGTCATTATGGGATACTGGGTGTAGATTAATGGGAAAATGAATTTCAAAAACTGTAGAATCAGGCTGTAGCATAACAAAATTGACAAAAGAGGGTCTGAAGACTTTCTGAATGCACTGTATATGAATCCAAAACTAGTTAACTGTTAATAAGTATATCACAGCAACAGCCAATAATTAGATCGTTCATTCATTCATTCATTCATTCATTCATACATACAAACAAAGGCAGTTTTGGCTAAAATCAAAGAATATATTTTATTAAATTAACCCATTTTCTGGGTTCACCCAGACACACTTGACTCATAAACTAATTAAATGGGCTGGGTTCACATAACAGGCTTCACAACCTATACATCTAACCAAGGATAAAGTTACAGAAGGTTTTTAACATTTTCACTAATTGTATTAAGTGTACTTTGCAAGCCCACTCAATTCAATAAGCATGTAACATAAAATCTCCCAAGTAAAGCTCAACTTCCTAGTTTCATGATAAATTCTGTGCATGTTTTCCGGGCAACAACATAAACGTGGTTTTTCCATTGTGCTCTTCTAGGATGCTTTTACAATATGACTTTCTAGTGTAAGATTTCCGTGCGGGCTCTCATCCAAGGATTAGCCAGATCCGGATCTGCCTGGCTAATTTATGATCAGATGGAAGGGGCTTATTTTCAAAGCCGAGACCGCAATCCAAACCCCTTTCCCCTTCCGCGCCTTTCAGGGAATGCGAACCTGCCGCCCTGCCTCCAGGCAGAGGCATCCCTACCTGCAGCGCCCAGCTCCTCCCTTAGCTGGCTGACGTAGCGCAGCAGCTCTTCCAGGCCTCGCTCACAATGCTGGCCGTAGCACAGGAACTTCTGCAGCACTTTGTCCACCTCCCTCTCTACGCAGGCGCACCGCTCCATTAGCCCGGCCTGCCTGACACGCTCTGAAGCGGAAGGAGAAAAGCTTCCAGTCAGTACAGTCGGTGACCTTTCAGGCGCTAGCCCGGGCGCGGGGGCTGGGGTGAGGCGGAAGGTCCTTACCGGTTGGACGACGGCAGCGCTGACAAGAAGAACTGGAGACGAGGCCAACCAGCCAGGCATCCACCCCCAACCCCGGTTTAAGGAGTAGAGAGACTAGTTCGCGGACAGAATTCTGCCTGTGTCACGGCTCACCGTATGGATGCGGTCGCTACAAATTGACACGATGGAATCTTTGGTGGTTCCTATCACAGACGAGCGATAGGTTAGAAAGACACCCTCCGTACGCTGAATGGCACGTTCCTTTACTATTCAGTATGAAGGTTGGGTGGAGCCACTTTGGAAAAAGGGGGGGGAGGGAAACTTAAATAATGCTGACCTGAAAACCGTGGAAAGAGGCTTCAGTTTTCTGTAATCTGAGAAAATAGAATTAATATTAATTAGCTTTCTTCTTGTATTATGCTGACGTCCTATGCGTATCTAATTGCTAAAGTTCGCTAATGATGGAGCAAACCATTTTTATTGGGAAGGGTGTGCCTGGAATGAACTATAGGATGCAACAGCTGATTGGGACAAACCATTTTTGGCTTAGGTAAATTGTTAGTGACGTGTAGGTTTGGAGTGAACCATTTTGTGGACAGTTGGAGTTACTGGTACGGTAAGAGTCTAATACAGGTAAGATGAAATATCAATAACAGATCAGGCAAAAGTTTGATGGACTGTGACTCCAACCTGTGTTAGACTTGGTATTATTAGTTAAAATGGATCAAGTCTTTCAGCTTTCCTCCCTCTCACTGGTGATAGAGGCCCGGTTCCCACATGCAGTTTGGGAGCACCACAACATCCCTAATAATTTGTCTTCTCCCTTGATATCCAATGCTGGTCTTATCCCCAGCCAATTATTTAAATAGTCTTGTGTCATCACTTCCTGCGCTGGAAGAAAGTTTTTTTTCCCCTCTCAGTCTCATAATATCCCATCAAAAGATCATATTCTATAAAATTAACACTGTGTCATCTATTATGCTGGAGCTAAATTCAGATTACCTGTTGCATGCAAATAACCATGTGCTTTGGGTGCAGCTCTGCCATCTAGAGGAAGGATTGAATGACCTGTTACAGGTGTGCTCAAAGTATGGTTTGGAGTATGTGGCTGGAGTCCTTTGTGGTCATTAAGTCTTCATTGCAGCAATCGCTCCCAGCAGTTACCTTCTCACTTACCACTAAATATCCTGTGTTCCTTTCATCCCGATAATATTCCCCCACCCTATTTTGGAATTAATATTTCTTCAGTTTTCTAACCAGATACACAAAAAAGAGACAAGTTCATTATTTTGTTGAGAGAGGTGTGCCATGTTTATGCAATTCTATATTTGCATAATTCCAAAATGTTTTCAGGAAACAATCAGCTTCATATTTTTCCTCAGTGCAGCATCTGGAAAATCAAGAAGGTTGTCAAACTGGGCATTTATTATTTGCCAGTTTCTCTGTGCTAATTTCTTACTTTCCTGGAACTAAGTGTATACTCAGGATATACTTATACAATTCTCTAGATCTTGGTTAACCATGTAATTATATCATGGTCTCTCTCTCTCTCCCTACTTGTAGCAATTTTTAATCTGATGTCTCCCTAAAAGTGTTTATCTGAATTAAAATATGCTGGAACTGCTCAATTAATTCAAGCATTTTTGGAGACAATTGGGAGCCTTCTTGGAATTTGCCCAAGTTGGATGTGGAAGATAAACCAATGTAAGAAGTTGTCCCTAAATTGTAGAATTATAATTCTTTTTATGCTGCACTGTTCCAGTTGGGGGACGTTTTCCTGCTCGATAAATGTGAAGTTGGATAATAGCAAAGTTATAGGAAAAGGCAAATTTGTGTACATAAAACAACTGGTATGGTTACAAATCTGGATGGACTATGCAGCTTAGCAAGCAGTTGCAACAGAAGAGCAATTTTATGATGGCAATTAACCAGTGGAACAGCTTGTCTCCAGAAATTGTGGGTGCTCCATCACTGGAGATTTTTAAGAAGAGGCTGGACAGTTACTTGTCTGAGATGGTATAGGTTCTCCTGCTTGAGTAGGAGGCTGGACTAGAAGACCTCCAAGGTCCCTTCCAGCTCTATCCTATTCTAAATCATTTTGTACCAACATGCAGAATGGAAAAACTTTTAGATTGTTGTTTTGTAATGCATCTTTTCTGGAATACAACTGATAATTCTTTGTCTTAGAAAATTACCAGATTGTGTGAAACTTAAAATATTTCTATTTTAATTACATATCTTAATAAATATCCGGCTTGACTGCTGAAATATATTTACATTGTGTGCCCATGAAGTCATTTTAGAACAATAACTGTTCAAAATATAGTAGCTGATTTATTATCTTAGGTCATGAACATAGAACACATTAGAGTCCTTTTACTGCAAAAATTACAGTAATTTCCAACTATTTCCAGTTGAAGCTAGATTTGGTATTGACCTGTATTCCCTTGTCTAGGCCTATATATGTCATATATCAAAAAATTTACCTATCTACCTGCAATATCTATCTGCAGTTGAAAATTAACACAGCTGTATCTTAAGACAAGGCTTCTTATTTAGTTTCCCTTGTGCAGAGCTATATGATTGTAGCTATTAAGTTTTTATTAATATTATTGTGGTTATTAGTTGCTTGATGCTCAGTCAAATACTGATTACAGCCATTAAGTGCAGGGCTTTTTTTGTCATAGAACGCCCAGAATGGAGTTCCGGCACCTTTTTGGGATGGAACCTTGTAGGGTAGGCAAGGCGGGTTATATGACGTGTGTGAGTTCCGGCACCTTTTTTTTTTTTTTTTTACAAAAAAAGCACTGATTAAGTGAGACATCATGTGGTCACAACTTGCAATCTCCTGCCAGCTTCCCTTTTGACTTTGCTAGTTGGAAATTAACTGGAAAGGTTGCAAATGATGATCATGTGACTATGAGATGCTGGAATGATTATTAAGTGAGGACCACATGTACAGCAATTTGTCCATATAGAAGAGACATTGACATCCCAGTTGTCAGTGAAATTATACTGGAACTTATTTAGCTATTTCAGTCCTAGGTATTACTAGAGCAGACACAGGCAAATCTTTTGTCAGACTATATTAGGGTCTTATTAGTACTACTAATAATAATATTGGGAAGTGAGTGGAAAAATGACTGAAGTAATTAGAGACAAGAGACAAGACAGTCTAACCTTGGATTGTTACAATTACACAGAATCTAAATCTGCCGGATATGAATAGCAAAAATACAAAAGACACTTGCTATGTGAAGCCCAGCTATAGAGCTGGAAAATAAGGTAACACCGATAGGTTTTAAGAAGTCCTAGTGGTATAAATGAAATGCACAAAAAAAATTGAAAAGCATGTTCTAATCTAAGGAGACACATCAGACAAGTTGCTCTTACAGTTCTCTGAGAGAAATGTGGTTCGGATCTAGATGGCTAGAGGGGTCTGAGTTTCACCAAGTGTTTTTAGATTAGAACTATAATACTGTGACTCTCCTCATATCTTTAGCAGATGCCTGGGCTTTCTTTCTTGGATGAAATGAACCAGTCCTATGGAATTCAGGAAACTGGTTTATCCAGCAGTTCTAAGAGGCAAATATCCTTGTTACTTTTTGTGACGCCTTGACTCTTCCCTGTGGCATCTGAGCAAGCAACTTGGTTTCTGGCTTAGCTGCCAAGTTTTGGTGCCGCCCTCCCTGGGTTGCTTCTCAACTCCCTGCAGTTCTAATTGATGGGTGGAAACCTGCTCTGGGGATTTTGGAGTGAGGCACCAACAGAGCTTTGGACTGGCGTGGGCACAGGGAACCAAACAAGAAATTTCAACAACCAGCGGTCTTGCAAGAAAAACAAGCATTTGTGGTTTTTTGGGACCAGCAAAGAAAAAAAACCCATCTTGATATAGTAGGAAGTATGTTCCTGGTCCAGCTCACTGTAGTCTAATTTACAATTTCTTTTTTTCAGCCTTCTTTTATAATTTGCTAACCCAGGTTGGTATGTTGAAAATTAACCACATCCATATAAGTAGCTCCCTGATAAGGGATTAAGCTTATATAGTAAGAGTGAGACTATAGTAAGAGTCAACTGTTTAGTGGATTTCTAATTATATTAAGTGCTTACACTTAACACAGGATAATTCAAAGATAGTGGTGCAGTAAAGAACTCTGGCACACAACTGGATTGTTTCATACCTAGTATGATACATTTTCATCTAGATTGCATCAAATCGCTTCATAACCAGTAGCTTTTCTGTTCTGGAAAATGAAATATAGTGGGCAGTGATGTCTCCAGATAGCACACTAATGACAACAAATTTGTAGTTCCAGTGAACATGGGTTGAAACAAAATTGCAATCTGAGATGTCCCTGAGCTAGTCACCATCAAACATATTTTAATACAGGATTTCATGTACCATATTGGATAATGGCAGTCCAAAAGTAGCAAGATTTGAGTAAACTGATAAAATGTTTGCATTTGGAACATAGCAAGACAGTATTCTGCATTGATCCATTATATAGTGATATTTCTCTTATAGCATATATAAAGCTTCTGACTTCATGCCGGAGTTATATTCTTAAGAACACATTTTTTTCTTTAACTTCACATCTGTATATAGTCCATACAGCATGCAACCTTGTACCATTTGTCTTGGACAAGCCCAATTCTACATGCAAGGAGATTTTCCCTCATCACCGCAGGCTTTTCTTACAAGAAGGAAATGTAAAGGTCTGTTTTAAAAGAAAGAGAAGCTGCAAAATGGTTGAAAATATTGTTCATCGTCTTTTTTTTTTTTTTTTTTTTGCTGGCTTAAAGGATATTCTTGGTATAGGAATATTTTCATTTTATATCCATAGATTCCCCAAAGTATCTTAAGATAATTTATTATTTCCTAGCCCAATCTTCCTCCCCAAAGGAGAAAAAAACCCCAAGAGATTAAACATTGTTTCCTCGTTAAAAATGCATGTCCTAATTTTTTCTTATATTAGCTTACCAACTTTTAGAGTTTCTAAAACAAAATGCGTATTATCTGTTAAAACATCTATCATAGTACAAATGGCAAAAATACTAGAAACAAAGCATTATAATGAGAAAAAAAAATAGCAGTCAGGGAGCCAGAATATTTAGGCAAATATTTTATGCAATACATTGCCAGGTTGTGCTTCCATTTCAAAATTCATTATGTTAGCAAGAACCTTCAAACCTAGAACTGACACCAAGCAGCAACAGAACAAATATGTTCACAGTTTCATTCTCATTATTATGGAGAAACTGACCATAACCCAGATAACATTGTCCTATGGTTATTTTGATGGCTGAGCCCGAATGGTTTGGCTTGTGCTTTTGTTTCATAGGCCAATGGAACTGGAGTTGCTGCTTCGTTTTCCAGAGCCAAAGAAGGATCTTTCTTACAATACAAGATCATACAATCACATTATACCTGTGGCTTTGACCTTAACAGCATGAGGCCTAGCCAGATAGATAGAAAACAAATGCTATACAGTGGGATTCCTGATAGAGTAGATATTTTATGCCTTTCCTTCAAGCACAGCAAGCCAAATTTCAAACAATTAATGGGAAGGCTAAACCTCAGTAAGGAATAACCTATATATTCTCTGTTTGTTTTCCCCACTGAGCCATATCAGGAAGGTTAGCCATAGTTCCCAATTACAGCTAATTCACATTTCATAATTTAAAAAGAAACTTCTGTATTGACAGGCATTGCCAGCCTTGTCCCCATGCAGGATACAAAAGGAAAGCCTTTTGCTCTCCAACATAGAAATGGTACGGAGGCAACAGCCTACCTGGATTGGCAAAAAAATCTAAATATATTTGCCGTGATTCCATTCTACAAACAGCAATCTGCAAAATCCTGGATGTTACTACAGGAACAAATTTCTGGGCTGGGTTAACCGGCTCTTTAGCTTAGACATTTCTTCTACCAAATCTCAGAGTCCATGTTGCAGTATGGGGCTTCTGCCCATTTGCAATCCCAGCAGGAGATCTTTCTCAAACATAGCTCAGATTTTAGAAGATTCAGCTCTCTCAATCCAAGGTGATTCTGAATTGCTATTTCTGGATTCAGCTGGGAACTGCCGAAATTCACTCAGCTGCCTTTCCAGAGCCTGATTTCGATGGTACATCTCCATGTAGCTGGCCTGAATCTCACGCTGATAGCGCAAGACTTTTTCTTTTTCCTCTCGCCATGTTTTTCGCTCCTGCTCAAAGTTTACAGCTTGCAGTTGGGCCTGCCGCCTTTCCTGCAACAATTCTGCCCACAGCCACTCAGTTCCTTCTGCACTCTCACCTTGCAGTCCCCGACATTTAGAATCATCTGTTTCACAACCCAAAAAGTCCTGGCTCGCTTGCATGGGAGAATCCCTGGAAGAAGGAATAGGGGAACCATGATCTGACAAGTGTTGGAAGGAGTCCCCCAACTGTGCCAGTTGTGAGTCCTTGGCTTCCAACTGTGTTCGAGCCTCCCGCAGCTGTGTTTTCAAACTGAAGATTTCACCCAGTTTCTGGGCCATCTCTTCTTGGGTATCTCGGATCTGCTGCTTCAGCAATGAAATCTCTGCAGTTTTTTGACACACCTGTGAAAAAATATATTAGGATGAAAAAAAGAAATTAACAAAACGTAGTGAGATACGGGAGTCTATGAGATGGTGGAATATTTCCAGCAAAGGCAACAATGACAAGCCCAGATATTAAAGGAGATGATGAGATAGCTCATACTGAAGATTTTGTTGTGCCTTTACATCTGAAACTTAGTTTCATGGTTGGACAAATCTTTAGTATGGCAGTAACCTTGTCAGTTATCTAGCAAGAGTTTACCTGCTTCAGAAAGAAGTCCAAAAGGTCAGTATAATTGACTGTTTGCATTCAGCGTGGACATTAGACTAAATGAAGATAGTCCTTTGTGCATATTTCTCACCTCCCATTTGGTCTCCTCCAGTTTCGGACTGAGGCGTTCTGCTTGTTGCTGCTGCAGCCTCAGCTCTTCACAGTGGCTCTGTTGAAGGTCCAGTTCTTCTTGCAGCCTCTTCTTTTCCTGCTGTACTTTGTAGAGTTGTAGTTGAAGTGCCCTCTGGCTGCGCTGGGCCTGGTGCATTACCTGTTGCAGCTTGGCCACATACATCTGCTTTAGCTCATCTAGCTCTTCCATCCAAAGACGCTGTTTGTCTTCAAACACCTACCAGAGTAAGAGAAGATTATGGTGGATTCACAAAGATGATTCCTATGGAACACCACACCCATTTCTCTCAAGAGATGGCATAAAAACCACATCTATGCATACTCTTATTCAGTAGCTGAATAAGTCCTCCACCTAAGATTTTGCTGCCCATTGGAATTAGCTAATATCTCATAACCAAACTGCAAGTGTCACCTCTTTGGGGGAGCTGCATTAGTTGCCAATTTGCTTTGTGGGTCTAATTCAAGATGCTGGTTATTACCTGTAAAGCCCTATATGGTTTGGGCCCACCTTATTTGAAGGACCATCTTTTCCCAATTACATCGACTCACCTCAGCAGAATAGGTTCCTCCTATTAAAGAGGTCCACCTTTTCCATGGTGGTTCCCTCCCTGTGAAACACCATCCCTGCCAAGATAAGACTGGCTCCCACCTTCATATTCTGCCAAAAGGCTCCGAAGATGTCCTTTTGGCAATGGGCCTGGAGATCCCAGATTGATACGGAGCCCATCAAATGGCTTGTTTGAATGTTGTTGCTAGGGTGGGGTGTAATGGGTTTTGTATTTAGGGGTTTCATTCCTGGAATCGGTGTGAGTGAGTTGGGCAGCCATATAAATTCCCTTAATAAATAATAAAAGTAAATATCTTAAGATCATTAATATTACTAAATAAAAATAAGGACAATAAGAATCATTAATCTGAATATTAGATATTAAGATAGGGTATGTCTAGTTTAATGAAAAGGACTAGGGGTGACTTGATAGCAGTGTTCCAATATCTAAGGGGTTGCCACAAAGAAAAGGGGGGGGGTCAACCTATTCTCCAAAACACCTGAGGACTGGTCAAGAAGCAATGGATGGCAACTAATCAAGGTGAGAACCAATCTAGAACTAAGGAGAAATTTCCTGACAGTTGGAGCAATTAATCAGTGGAATGACTTGCCTCCAGAAATTGTGGGTGAACCATCACTGGAGGTTTTTAAGAAGAGACTGGACAACCATTTGTTTCAAATGTTATAGAATCCCCTGCTTGAGCAGGGGATTGAACTAGATAGAACAGTGGTTCTCAACCTTTTTAATGCCTCGACCCCCCAACTGGTCGTAAGTCGAGGACTACTCAACCGGTCGTAAGTCGAGGACTACTCAACTGGTGCAGCACCGTTTGCAGAATGGGACTTTTGGCGGGCTCAGCAGGGCAGAGACAGCCTGGACAATTCCTATTGGCTTTTGAAAGCCAATAGAATTAGGCTCTATTCAAGAGAGTCTATTCTATTGGCTTTCAAAAGCCAATAGAATAAAAGGGAGCAGCACAGCTAAGGAAAAGGGGGGAAAAATGGCGGACTGCATTGTTTGGTGACCCCCGTGAAATGGTTGTTGGACCCCAAATGGGGTCCCGACCCACAGGTTGAGAACCACTGAGATAGAAGATCTCCAAGGTCCCTTCCAACTCTGTTATTCTGAACAACAGCCAAAAATGGAGCATCACTTTCCAACTCTCTAGGCTCCTTCACACAAGAAATTTGTCACCAAGACATCTTTCAAGACAGTCCGTTTCTTAATAAAAAAAACATCACCTCCCACTGACACAATACATACTGCAAACAACTCAGGCAAGTCACACAACTCTTCCTACATAAACTTCCTTTTCTTCTCTATTATAAATTACAAAGATAATGAGATGTATCTGTGAAATTAAAAAAACAGGTTGAGGAGTAGATCAGTGACAGGATTTGCCACAGCCTGGGTGTGGAAAGCCGACATAAGAGCTTCAAAATAAGATTCTTGCAAACAAATCAGAATTACTTGTTTACTTGCCCAAATATACCTGTTATTCATTTGTGGCATGCTGAAAGCATAAAAAAGGGAAGCAACCAACTGCTTCTCTATAAAAGCTTCCGAGCTTCATTGCTTTGAGGCAATTTTTATTCACCTGAGGTATCCATGCAAGTGGCTTTTAGAATGCTTATAGAAAGGTTAAAGAATGGATAACACTATTATAGAGTCACATGGAGAATTTTACAAACTGGGGATGGAGCCAAGTCCAGCAGGCTAATTGAGTTTGTGATATCCATAATACCAAAACATTCCTACTACGCAAATTTACCCACCTGTGTGAAGGGGTCATCAGTCTCACTTAGATTTCTCTTAAACTGACGGAGCTCCATGCCTTTCTCACACAGTTGGTCCTCAAGCTGCTTCACTACATCTTCCAAAGAATATGTGGGCTCATATGGAGGGGGTGGTTCCCCTGAGCTCTGTAGTCGGCTCAGGCTCTTGCAAGACAGTGGTGCTTTCTCTACTGCCAAAGGGTCTTGTGGTCCCCGAGAAGCCCTATCTAAGGAACCACCGATGTGGTTGATGTGTCCTATGGAAGCACTCAGCTGATTCGGACCAGGCTTGAAGCGGGGATTGTATGTGGGAAAGCTTTGAATGGAGTTTGTGCCCTCATCAAGACTGATGGTGTGCAGCAGATGGCTACGCAGAGGACCACGTTGTGAGGAGCTGCCGGTACTGTTCTGGGTTAAGAGTGTATGCAGACTCCCATTGCTCTTTGACATCTTCTGTCCTTTGCTGCATGACAATCCCTGCATAGACAATAAGCTCCTCCCGGGCACCATCTTGAAAGCTGAGGGCCTGATCCGACACTGAAAATAATACAACGGCCATTAGCAGTTAAATTGGCTTTTGCATTCTGGATAACACAATGGCCATTAGCAGGTTAGCAAGATAGTTTAGCATAGCAGGAATACAAGGAAGCCAGCATATTATTATCATTCTAGTAGAATTAGTCATTTAGAACAACTCAACTGTTCTCTTGCCCATGTTCAGCCTTTCAATTTCTTTCAGCTGCTGAAAGAAATAAGTTCTAAAGTGTGGGGTCCTTGGTGGTCTTTGAGCCTGGTTGTTTTTTTTTGTAGATGTTTCATTACCAAACTAGGTAACATCATCAGTGGTGATCAGAAGGGAGTGCACCAAAGACCCCTCTGAGCTACAAACATTCTTTTCTATCAGTAAGTTCTAAAGTGGTAACCAATAATTTTTTCTTGATCAGGATGGGGGGAGGGGGAAAGATTTCTTTTGTAGCAGCTTTCTAGAGATGAAGCCGTTTTTGGCTGGCATTAAATGAGGATACTGTTGAGAAGAATTAAGCAGTATTGTGACATTACTTGTAGCACTATTAGCTCTGTTTCTTATTGTGTAGATTGGGGCTAGCATTTAGGATCCTGTTTCAGAGCTAGATTAATCCTTCAGAATTGGAAGAAAAGATTCCTCTGTTCCAATTCCAATATGGATAATTGTGATTATCTATCTCAGAAAGAATAGATTTCTTTAGCTTGGCTTTATCTGCTGTTTTAGAGAGTCTCCTGGAAATGACAATAACTAAATTAAGTTCAGCTTATCTGATAGTTTGGCACCAGTTCTCAGCAATCACTTTCACACTTTTCAGAGATAAACAGATCACATTGCAAGGGCCTCTGCACTTAACATCAGGGCCTTTGAGTCATCACTTCTTTAGGTACCATGACACTAAACTGACCTGGAGGTGGAGGAATAAGAACTGTGTATGGATCCACAGTTATTTTTCAAGCCAACAGAGCAGCATGCTAAATAACATCTCTGAACTAACAAGTCCTGAAATTTGTAAAGAACTGGCTTGGGGTGAATGTCCACCACATGGCCTTTCCCACTCTAAAGATTCAGTAGCCGATTCAGTTGTGTTCTGGGGAAATTACAATTAGCTCAGTTCCTCTGATCCATTAGTTTCTTAGTTTCACACCTCATCACGCAGACTTTCCAAAGCACCTACTAAGTATAAATCTGTATATTTTAATATCATAAAATTCAGAAATATTCTAGACTTACTGAACAAAGAGCAAGTGTATTTGTTTCATGCCAGAAAAGTATTTTTTAAAAACATTCTTGAAGCCCATACCTTGTCAAAGCGTCCACGTTCAGGCAAAGAACTCTTGGAAAAATCTGCTCCTCGATTGTCCTGGAAATACCGCTCAGGGGACTGGTTCTCCCGGTCACTCTCATAATCCCGTTTAAAGCCACCACCAGATGACTGATGCTTCTTCTCAGCCCGAACATCCCGTTTGCCCCCATATGGGTAGCCAGAGACTTCATGTTGTGGTATTCCTTTCCGGAGCAACCCATCTGGCTGGCGCATCCGTCGCAGACCTCCTGACGCAGAGGGCGAGAACTCTTGTTTCTCTACTAGGCTGCCCACGCTGCCCATATCACAGTTGTTGTCAGGCTCAGAATCCAGAGAATGAGGATCAAACAGACAATGGCTGAGGTCACAGGTCACATGAGAGGCCTGTGCTGTTGCCATGGAGATTTAGAGATGATTCCAGCACTGCCAAAAGAAATCATATACACAAAAATGTAGTGATAACTCGGATCTCACCAGCCCCCGGGCATATTGATCCCAAATCTATTCCTGACAGCCAAAGAACACCAGTTAATCAAATCACAGAGATAAAAAAAGGGGTCTTTTAGGCTCAGTAACTTCAATGCCAAACAGAATTCCAAGTTTTTCAAACTTAAAAAAACTCAATAGTCAAAGACAGCGTGAACACAACTATGTGATTTTCTCAAAAAAAGTTCCAAAATGATTTCCCATTACCTTCTTCAAACACCACTTCTAACTTTTGACTCCTGGCTTCTGCATCTCTGTTGTGCTTTACTCACCTCCTGTTAACTATGTCAAAATGGTGCCTTACCAGGAAGAAACATTTCCAAAAACAAAGCACTAAGTTCCACCCAGTTCAGGGCTAAGTGTTTGTTGTGCCCTTTTTATGATGCTGTTTCCTAAATCAAGCTCCTCCCCTTACTCTAGGCAATATTGGCATTACTTGTACAGCCACCAGCTCCTTATTGATCAGAATGATTGATGCTGGGCTGATCAGCATATAAGGTTTTCCTAAGAACACCAAAAAGCAAATGATAATCACCGATCATCTTCCCTGCTTACTTGGCTTCATATACAGAGCTCTGCCAGCAGCAAAGCAGAAGTAATCCTCGACCAGTAATTTAGTGACCGTTTTAAGTTACAATGACACTGAAAAAAGTGACTTACAACTGGTTCTTGCACTTATGACAATTGCATCATATAGATGGTCACATGATCAAAATTTAGATGCTTGGTATACGTTTACAACTGTTACGGCATCCCAGAATCATCTGATCACCATTAGTGACCTTCCCAGCCAACTTCCAACAAGCAAAGTCAATGGGGGAAATCGGATTCATTTAATGACGGTTTGATTTGATTACTCACTATGTGATTCTCTTAACTGTAGCAAAAAAAACTTGTAAAATCCGATAAGACTAACTTAACATTTGCCTTGCTTAGCAACAGAAATCCTGGTTCCAATAGTGGTTATAAGAGAACTACCTCTAAGTCAGCGGTTCTCAACCTGTGGGTCGCGACCCCATTTGGGGTCGAACGACCATTTCACGGGGGTCGCCAAACAACGCGATCCACCATTTTTTTTCCTCAGCCGGCGCAGGGGGTGGCGCTGTGCATGCACACCACGCAGGGGCGGCGCATGGGACAGCGCCGCACATGCGCGCCGCGCAGGGGGCAGTGCCGCGCATGTGTGCCGCGCAGGGGGTGCCGCCGCGCATGCGCGCCGCCTCCTTATGACCGGGGTCGCCGGTATAAAAAGATTGAGAACCACTGTTCTAAGTGGTTAAATGGCCAGTCAGAACATCAGACAAGCTGCCCCTTATACAGTGCTACACAGAAGTCTGATTTGATTTTATATGGTCTTGTCAAAGTGATACTGGTAGTGCAACTGGTGTTCCCACCTTCATAAGTGGTTTTAATTCTTTCCACAGTCCAATTTGAGTAGTTCGTAGTAGAAAAAAAGATGAGATATATAAGGTTGTAGTGATTTCTTCTACACCAGGGGTAGGTAACCTTGGCTCTTTTATGACTCATGGACTTCAACTCCCAGAATTCCTGAGCCAGCATGGCTCAGCTTGGAAACCTCTCTCTTTCCCCTCAGCATGGCTGGCTCAGGAATTCTGGGAGCTGAAGTCCACCAGTCATAAAAGAGCCAAGGTTGTCTACCCCTGTTCTACACTGTTCTGACTTCTCGACTTCTTGCTGCACCTAGGGCAGTGGTTCTCAACCTGTCTAATGCCGTGACCCCATAATACAGTTCCCCATGTTGTGGTGACCCCCAAGTGGGTGTGGCCACCAATAAGACGGAGTAGGACAGCTAGGGAAAAGGGGAAAAAATGGCGGACAGTGTGGTTTGGCGACCCCCGTGAAATGGTCGTTTGACCCCAAATGGGGTCCCGACCCACAGGTTGAGAACCACTGACCTAGGGTTTCCAGAAGTATCACCAGGGATCCTTTCAAGAACATGTTAGCTTGGCTTCAGGGCATGGAGACAGATGTAAGAAAATAAGCATTTGGTATAACAATGGAACTGCAGTCCACATTATTTATTAATTTTAATATTAAATGGGTATTTATAAATACCCATTGTATTCACAGATTCTCAGTGTCATGGTTCTGACAGAGACAAATAAAGTAGAACTCTGAGGCTAGGAAATTCCTCAAATAACATGTTTATTAGTTACAATGTATCGGCATGTCAAAAGTGAAACCAAGTCTGAAGACACACATAACAATTCCCCAATACAAAGTTGAAAAATCCCAGCCCTAAGGCTATGCAAGCAACTACATTCCCCAATACATCTTGGGGGGCTTTTCACGAAACACCAGCCTGCAGTCTTGGGAGCAGCCGTTGACCTTGGTTCCCACGGAACAAAAGTTTATTTAGACTAGTGAAGCACCTGGCAATCCTCCCTCCCTCCTTTCAATGTGTCAACCGAAAATAAATAAGATGGCCACAGCCATGCTCATTTTTAAAGTTGACACTCAGTAGTTAACAATAGCAACAATAAAGTTATAATACAATGAAAGTAGGAAAAAATATAAAATTGAAAACTATTTTAAAATATAAAACAACCATAACAATAATAAATAATAACCACAATAATAAACCACTGATGTAATTTCATCCTTCGTAGGCTCTCCCATTCTATTTTTAAACTTTACAAGAAGCCAATAATGTTGAGTGCCAATCCAATTTCTGCTGAGAAAGCATTCCAAGCTACAAGTATTCCAAATTCAGAAGTGACATTTGAATGATTCAAATCCTCTTGGCTTGCAAAAGTGGGGAACCACAAATAGTTTCTCCCAGAATGATCAAATCAAATGGGAAGTACCAACCTATCAAGACACAACACTTGAGCTGTGACTGTAACTCCATTTTCTCAGGGTTAAGTTTCACACTGTTTTGTCCCATTTGGATCTTGACAGTTTCCAGATACTAAATCGAGACACAGACATCATCTTCACCATGGCCTGGGGCAATGATGTACAACTGGATATCATCAGTTGATGATGGATTGATACATTGATGGATAAACCGTAGCTGATGGATGGCGTCTAGTGTTTCTTTAGTTTCTTTAGCCCAGACAAGTAACTCAGGTAAGAGTCTCCTCAAGCAGCAAGGTAGCTGGTATACCAATTTGATCCCCAGCTTTCCCTATAATTTGCAGGCATTGACACTCTGTGATCTCAGCAGCAGATTCCTTAGTCATAGACAAGATGTCTTCAAAGATCAGTACTATCCCCCTCCCCAGCCTTGACTTCTCAAGGACTCAAAATCCAGGAGGGCAGATCTCTGAGACAGTAATATCCCTTTCTTTGCCCAACCAGGCCTCAACAATAAAACAGACCCGTATTTACTACCAGGAGTTTCTGGCCAAGAGCATCAAGGATATAACCACTGGGTACCTATATAATTAGTTTCCCTTTTCCCTGCAATTTGTGATTGAATACTTTATCTATCTTTGTTGATACAACAAAATACCAAGCAAATGAATGAAAAAGGATAATCCTAAGACACTGATAGACTGAATATCACTAGATTCCAAGGTAGAAGTTCACCAACTACCTTTAGTTCTGGTTAGATACTAAATGCTAGGGGGAAAAAAAGAATGGATTCTTATTTTCCCATTGCCACTACACTTTTCCCTAGGGAACAAAAGTCTTCTGCATTCCTTGCTAAAAGCAGATCATGTCTTTAACTGAAGGCATTACAGGTACAGGTAGTTCTTGACTTACAACCATTTGTTTAATGACCCTTCAAAATTACAACAGCACTGAAAAAAGTGACTTATGACCTTTTTTTAACCCTTACAACGGTTGAACATCCCAAATGGTCACATGATCAAAATTTAGCTGCTTGGCAACTGGCATATATTTATGATGGTTGCAGTGTCCCAGGGTCATGTGATCACTTTTTGCAACCTTTTGACAAGCAAAGTCAAGGGGAAAGCCAGATTCACTTAACCATGTTACTAACTTAACAACTGCAGGGACTCACTTCACAACTGTGGCAAGAAGGTCGTAAAATGGGTCAAAAGTTGCTTAGCAACTGTCTTACTTAGCAATAGAAATTTTGAGCTCAAATGTGGTCATAAGTTGAGGACTACTTATAGTTCATATTTAGCAACTGCCTCGGACAACAACTGTTCACAGTTACAATGATGGTGAAAAAGTAATTTTCCAATCAATCCTAGCATACAGTATATCACTTTCACAGGTTTGAAAGGAAAGAAAAGCTAAAATAAGACTGAAAGAACAGTTGTGATTTCATTCAGTGACCACTTTGCTTAAACAAAGTTGCTGGTGCCAGTTGTGGTCGCTAAATGAAGACTACTTGTCTCTAGTTTCTCTGAAGAAGGATTAAAGTAATTGTCTGAAAAAGTAATGTATTGTGCTCAAATGATGCAGAATTTTCTTTCAGTAGATTTAAGTACAATTTCTACACTGGAATTAGATACAAAGAGAAAGAAAAAGAATCCAGACAGCTAAGCCAAAGGAAATAAGGAAAGGCTATTAGGCAACAGAGTCAAACTGTACCTTTTTCTAGGAGAGAGTTTGAACTTAATTTAGTACAATAAGTAAAACAGAGCCATGTTTCCTTGTTTAACCAGGACGGAGCAGTTTGCACCTTAAATGTTACAGAATATTTAAGCTGGCTCAGGAATTCTGGGAGTTGAAGTCCACGAATCATAAAAGAGCCAAGGTCGCCTACCCCTGATCTAGTGGTTAAGACACCAGGCTATATACTAGGAGACTGTGAATTCTAGTCCTGCCTTAGGTATGAAAACAGCTAGATGACTTTGGCCAGTCACTCTCTCATTCCAACCCACCTTACAGGACTGTTGCTGGGGAAAAAATAGGAGAGGGAATTATTAGATTATTAGATAGGTTCACTGCCTTGAGTTATTTATAAAAATAATAAAGGTGGGATAAAAAATGAA